TTGACTTTATTCTACATATTTAGTTAGTTAGTCAAGAGCATTTATCGAAAAGTCCATGGGTCTTCGCCATAGACTTTCAGTAACATCTATCCATGAAGATGATCTTTTCTAACTGATTGCCTTGTATTTTTCTGGGTTTCTCAAAATATCAGGAGCAATGATATGTTTTCCAACTATAACAGCACCAATCTCTCTGAGGTTTTGTACGATATTGATCAAATCTCTTTATCACCTCAGAGCAATGGAATTATGTTCGTTGAAATATTGTTGGTCTTTGGAAGGGAAGAGAGGGCAGTGATCCAAGTATGATCTCAGAAGTGATGCAGTCACTTTCACTCTCAATTGTTTAGGAAAACCCATGTGATCTTGTCTGGGTACTGGAGCAAGAATGAGTGTATATGATTTTCTCAAAGGAGACAACACTGAAAGAGAGGGGGCAGAGGTCACACGTGCTAGAATTCCTCTCCTCTTACATGTATCACAAAATCATCTGATACCCAGAGAGACAGCTATTCATTATTTTACTTCAAAGTCCAGAATCTCTGCATGAGGTCATTAACGAGTTCAGGTCCAGATGTGGCTTCTCTTGATCTAGGTCTCTGAATCTAGAAAGATAAGTCACCTGATTTCTGCATAGCCCGTGTACAAGAGTAGAGCCCAAGAAAGAAAATTGTAACAAACCTTCCATTGTGGAAGAGATGAGTGATTGGGGAGATCAACAGATGTATCATCACATGACACTCTGGCCATGTTGAAATCCATGGGGCTGATATTTTGAGGGTTCTCTACCTTTGAGTGGGACATATTTCTTCAATGAGACCTTAATTCTGCAAACTACTTTGAGAGTTTCAAATCCTGCATGACCCCAGTTTCTGGTATCTTCCTGTTCTTTTTCAGTGTTTGTAAACTCACTTTTTTCATGAGCTCAGCATTGTCCTCTTGAACTGCCAGGTGCAGTGATTGTAGTGACATAACACTGTCAGTCTGTTTTCCAGCTTCCTTTCCTAAAGCTTTAAGCCCATAAGATTATTTGATTTAATTAGCAACACTTAAATATATATATATTTAATAATAAATATATATATAATATAATATATATATTTATATATTTTATGTATTATATAAATACTGTTATCAAAAGTCATTTTCTTTAACTACGTATCAGGAGTCTTCAAAATGTTCATTTAAAATGCATATTCTGGGAAAAAAAACTGCATGGATTAAAAAATTTTTTTCATTTTTTTGACTGATGGAAGATGGTTTCTCAGTGCTTACCTCTATAAAATTAAAAATGAGGAATAGAGCTTAGGCTGAACTAAGTGTCATTCTGGTAAAAAAGAAATACATAGAGAACCAGTCAGATGCACTGATTGGCAGACAGCCAGTATGCCTTTGGCTAGAGATTCACTGCAGCCATCTTTGGAGGAGGTAAACAGGAAACAAAAAGAAATGACCAATTCAAAGTCTTGTTTTATCAGTATAAAATGTTCAGGTGGCTACAAGAGTACTGTGGTTTTCAGCCGTACTGGACAGTGGTTCTTTGTGTGGGTTGTTTAACAGTGTTGTGCCAGTTTGCAGGAGAAATGGCCAAACTCACAGAAAGGGTTGTTCCTTTAGAAAACAGCAACACTATTGATTCACAAAACTATCTGACTTGTGTTATCTGACGCAAAGACTTATCATAAGTTCATCTGCAAAGATACTGTCATTATGCTTGATTTCATAAGGTATACAACAGAAATCTCCAATTCTAAAATTCTAAAAACCAACACTAATGTTGGTTTTTAAATACAGTTTTGATTGTGGACACAAAAGATACAAAAACTAGTAACAAAAACCTCATTCATTCATTAAAACCATGTTTGTAATAGATTAAGTATAATTACATTAAAAATTATCAATACATGTAAATTTAATTATTGAATGAGATTTTTAAAGATTCCTAAAATTTACACTATATGAATTTTTAGAGTTTTGTTTTTAGAAAATGATATACAGTATAAATTATATTGTAATATTTTACATTGTTTCTCAGGAAATGAGTTATACGTGTGTGCATGCCAAAAAATTTATTTTCTTTTTGAAAAATTATATATTTTAAAGACTTAGAAATTATTTTACCATATTCATTTCATATGTAGGTATTATATTCATGCATATTTTTTCTTGAAAATAGCGATATTAATATCACATAATATGAGATTCATGTCAATGATTTTTTTCTTAATCCAAAATGTGTTTCCCACTCATCTTGATTCAAGCTGCTTTTAGTACCGCCTCCTTCTGATGGAACATCCTTCTGCAAGCTTTGCCTTCCTTCTTGTAGGCTGGCAAAACTACCGTTGTGTTTGCTAAAAGCCATGGAGATTTTATAGCATCCTGGGCACTTCACATCCATGAAGTAGGAATTGGGGCTCTGCGTCAGGCACGTCTTGTGTTTCCTCTTCTCCTCTTCTGGACAGGGATGGAGGCGATCCTTGATGAGAGGCATGTTCATGTGGATAGGTCGTCACCACCAGAAAGGCCACGTCAATGAGCTTAAAATGAGGATAGAAGGATATTATAGGGGCTAGGACTGTGGCACAACAGGCTAAAACCCTGGCCTGCGGCACCAGCATCCCATATGGGCAATGATTCAAGTCCCAGCTGCTCCATTTCACATCCAGCTCCCTGCTAATGCACTTGGGAAATCCCCAGAGGATGGCCCAGGTCCTTGGGCCCCTGCACCCACCTGGGAGACCCAGAAGAAGCTCCTGGCTCCTGGCTCCTGGCTTCAGATCAACTCAGCTCCAATCATTGCAGTCATCTGGGGAGTGAACCAGCGGGGGGGAAGACCTCTTGATCTCTGTCTCTACTTCTCTTTGTAACTCTTTCAAAGTAAATAAAAAAATTTTAAAAGAAGGATATTATATAATACTATAATTCTTTGAAGCCAATATTTATAGCTATGTATATGCCAAATAATATGATATACTTTCTCTGTATTAACTTCCATATATGAGAAAAATCAGGTGGTATTTGTCCTTCTGTGTCTTATTTCACTTAGGATAGTGATACTCAGTTCTTTGTCTTTGTTGCACGTGTCAGGACTTTATTCTTTTTATAGCTGAATACTATTACATTGTGTGTGCGTGTGTGTGCGTGTGTGTGTGTGTGTATACAACACATTTTTTCTTTATCCAATTGATAGAGATAATGGAATCAACCTGCATGGGTTTTAAAATTTTGCACCAAAATAACACGATATTCCATTTTGTCATGAACTTTTAACATTTCATTGATTTTTATTTATTTGAGAGGAAGAGTGACTGAAAAAGAGAGAAAGGCAGATAGACACACAGACAGAACCAATGCATTTATTCACTCCCCTTCAAGAACCAGGATTGGACCAAGCCCAAGGTGGGAGACAGAATTTCAATCTAGTTCTCTCATGTGGAAGGCATGAACTCAATTAATTAAATAATCACTGCTACTTTCATTAAATAATCACTTGCACATTAGCAAGGAGCTGGGAGCAGCAGCTCTAGCCTGGATTCACTCGCCAGCACTCTGATTTGAGATACAGACATTTCAACTAGCATCTCTACTGCAAGGTCAAATGCCTGCTCCAGTTATGAACTTTGCCAGGTATCCTTTTACATGATAGTTACCTTAATTAGCACGGTTAATAGGTGTTTAGCCATTGGCTATAGCCACCAATGAGTACATTGTGAGTAAATTATACATGAGTAAATTCTCATTATTATTAGTGATGTTTCTTTCATATTGTTGATTTAATGCCATTTATGTCAGGAGCAAATGTTTCTGTTATATTAGCTGTCCATCGGGGATCAGATTCGCTTTTCTTCCTTTCTGCTTCCTACAGGGTCCCAGAGGACCACTTTTTTCTGGACTATTGCTGGTCCGTGTGGTAGACAGAGAACATGGTAAACAGTTTCTCCATGGAAATGATATATATCACATGTCATTGATCAGAGCAAGGCATGGAGAGGACTACATATCTGCTTAGAGATTTCCATTACAAGGGGGATCCATTCCTTCTACAGAAAAGCTTTACTGCCTTTATCTGTCATCTCAACCCAGGAATACTCACCTAGATGCGATGCTGATTATGGTTCCACTGTATGTGTTGTATATGTGTGTCATATGTGTGTGTTTTATGTTGCTTGTGTTGTTATGATCTGATTTCTCTTGCTTCATGTTTGTGAGAACACATTTATGTAGAAGATCCGCAAAACGTTGGCTTTTCAATAAAGTTCAACCTGATGATATAGAAAAATCTATTTGGGGGCCTGTTGTTATGGCACAGTGGGTAAAGCCACTGCTTGAATGCCCAAATCCTATATCAGGAGTACTGGTTTGAGTGCTGGATACTTTGCTTCTGATCAGCTCAGTGTTAATGTACTTGAAAAGTAGCAGATGATGGATGGCTCAAGTGCTTGAGTACTTGTCACCCATGTAGGAGATCGGGATGGGGATTTTGGCTCTTGGCATCAGCCTGGCCCAGGGCTGGCTGTTGCAATCATATGGGGAGTGAATCAGTGGGTAAAAAATCTTTCTCCAATCTCTTGCTGCCACTCTCCTTCGAATAAGTAAATAACTCGTTTTTAAAGAAAAAGAAGTAAGTATTTGTCTACTTCTTTGTTACCCTGATCCACATTGAAAATGTGTGTAAGTCCATCTACCAGGTTGTGTCAGCAAGTGTTTATATTTATGTCTTCAGACAAAATGGTGCATTCTTTTTGGAGTCAGAATTTTTTCATTCTGTTCTTTCTAGGAAGATGAATTCCATATTTTAAGGGAAACTATTGTCTTGTTTTAAATTACATTAATACAGAGGCGAGATATTTTAATTGTGATTTTTATTTCTAGTGTGGTACAGACTACAAAGTAAGCCATATATTGTAAAAGATGTGTGTAAAACACAGAGAGGAATACAATCCCACTCTGGCTGTTTTATGATTCTGAGCTGAAATCCTGAAAAAAATGTGCTGTTGCAGGCATTTGTGTCATTTGAGGATGTGGCTGTGTCCTTCACCTGGGAGGAGTGGCAGGAGCTGGACAATGCTCAGAGGGCTCTGTACAAGGATGTGATGCTGGAGACCTACAACAGCCTGATGCTGGAGACCTACAACAGCTTAGGTGAGTGAAACTCCCCAGTCCCTTCCAGTGCTACATTCTTCCTGTCTGACAAATAAATGAACACTTTAATGCTGCTCAGGTATATGATTCCCGTCCACAAAGAATGTGAGCATTAAACACTCTGAAGCAAGGGGCTCAAATTAGCTTTTCCATTATCCCAGCTCCTGAAGCTGAGCCATTGGCATTCTTCAAAGGATCTGGCTGAGCAGTCTGGTTTAGTTCTGTGTTGTTTCCCTTCAACAGGGTGCTGCATTTCCAAACCAGAGGTCATCTTCAAGTTGGAACAAGGAGCAGAGCCATGGGTTATGGAAGAACCCCTAACCCAGAGTCTGCCAGGTCAGTCTGTGCGGGGCAAGGAGGCTGGGAGGAGGGGAGCTCACCAGATGTGTCACCTATGTTGAGCTGTTATCAACAAATTTTGCCATGTCTAGCCCTGTGGACAGCTGAATACATATAACACACAGGCATTCTACAGTCTCCAGGGAAGGTTCTCACATATATATTCATCTTTTTTTTTCTTATTTAGGAATATTTTCTTTGATTTACCAAAAATCTAATCTATACCTGCCTCTACTTAGACTTTTTTCTTAGTTAGCTATATTCTTTAAATTCTGTCCTCTATGTTATACTGTATTTTATACTGTTTTATCCCTAAGGCATTCATTCACATATTTAGTCTATCAATGCTTGTTAACTGGGCAGCCTATAGGCACTTGTCTTTTAGTAGTTGTAGGGATAACATAGTGATGACACAGGTATGTCTTCATTTAAAGGGCTTTCATTCTCTTACAAGGAAAAAGACAAAAAGCAAATATCTAGTGGTAGGATGAGAAACACAAATTTTGTTTGCCAGAAGGAGAGAATGAAAAATGACATGTTCTTTTAAGAAAGGTTGTAAAAGAAGGAATTTTAGAGATCTACAAATTATTTTCCTTGGGTTACCTTAATTTTGACATGAAGAATTTCCCCATTCACCTTATAATACATAGGGGGATGTAAAGTACAGAATAGGCAGTGTGTATCAGTGTTAAACCAATTTATAGATCATCAGCTTAAAGCTAGTGTTTCTATTTATTTTTAAAACTTTTCTTTTTGTTTTACTTGAAAGGCAGAGAAACAGAGCAAATGAGACAGAGGAGTAGACCAGTCCCCACATAGCAGCAGCAGCCAGAGCTGGACCAGGTCAACACCATGAGTCCAGGACTCAATTTGGGTCTCCCACATGGGTGGCAGGGAAGCAAGCACTTGAGCCATCATCTTTTACCTTCCAGTGAGTGCTTTAGCAGGAAGCTAGATTGGAAGCAGAGGAGCCAGGATTCAAACCAGGCGTTCCAAAATGGGATGCAGGTATCCCCATTGGTGACTAATGCAGTACAGACCACAAAGTAAGCCATATATTATAAAAGATGTGTGTAAAACACAGAGAGGAAGACAATCCCACTCTGGCTGTTTTATGATTCTGAGCTGAAATCCTGAAAAAAATGTTCTGTTGCAGGCATTTGTGTCATTTGAGGATGTGGCTGTGTCCTTCACCTGGGAGGAGTGAAGGACACCTCTTTGTCAAATGCTTGTCCCTTAATCGGGTATTTAAAATCTTATGATATTTTCTGGGAAGTTCAAAAGAATATGAGGAAAGAGGTCCAGGAATGAAGTTTGTATAATGCAGCATCAAAAATCTTGATGCTAAGAAGGATCCAGCATAAGACCTTAGAAAATCTTAGAAAAGTCTAGGTCCTAGACTTGGGAGCTGAACCAGGAGATTCTGGGTCTCAGCGCCAAGGAAACCAATAGATCCAGGTTGGAGGTCTCACATTTCTTTGGGAGCATATTTTGAAGTTAATATTCTCCAGTTCTCTTTTATAAAATCGTTCTAAAAAAACAAACTGAGTGGTCTGTGACAGTAGGTGACAATGGGAATGCCAACACAGAAAATAGAAGCCTTCAAAAACCAGTGAATTTTCAAGTAAGAGTATGTGTACAAGGAAATGAGTGAAGAATCTCAAAGCTATTAATCATAGAAGGAGCCAGAAAAAGTTTTCAAAGATGGCAGTCTCAGAATGGGTTGCAGAACCAAATCCTTTAGAGCTATAGAGAGGATATGCTCGGGGTGGTGGGCTGAAGCTTTCCTGTATCTCCTAAGATTTGGAAAAGCAAACCATGTCAGCTTTCTTTGGGAATATGACGGATGCTGCCTTAATGAAGTGTGGGGATGAAAAGATTCTGTGTTGGAAAAAATCCCACAAATGGCTACAGCCCTTCCCTGGGGAAGAGTAAAAGTATATGAACATAGGCTTAGGTCCTGTTCCTAAGTCTTTTTCTGTTTAGGTGGCACATACGGCTCTCCCACAAGGGTCTGATCACAGCAACCTTGCTGTCTCCAGTGCTGAAAGAAGAGCAAGGACAAGCACAAAATGCAGCTGTTATGCAAAAAATATAGGGAAACAATGAAGAAAATGGCTGATGAAACATTGTCAGCCTAATATTAGAGCTAGACAGCAGATGAATATTCTAACTAAATAATTTCCCATTAGATAAAAGGTAAAATAAGACATCAAAAAGCATCCATTTTTCACATTCGAGAATCTACTAATATAATTTATTTTATTAATTCACTGAGGAATAAAACCATATTCTGTCATAAATGAATACCTCTTATTAATGTTTAAACATTTTATGTTACTATGATATGAGGACACTTTTTTGGATTTGTTCATCTGAAAGACAAAAGGTACGGAGAGGGAAAGACAGAGAGATCTTCCATGCACTGGTTTACTTCCTAAAAGGCCACGATGACTGGGGCTGGGCTAAGCCGAATCTAGGCACCTGAAACTAAATATGACTATCCTGTATGGGTGGCAGGGGCCCAAGGACTTGGGCCATCTCCTGCTGCCTTCCTAGATTCATTAGCTGGTAACTGGATCAGAAGTGGAGCAGCCAGGACTTCAACTGGTGCTCATCTGGGATATTGGTATCACAGCCAGTAGCTTCAACCATAGTGGCACAATGCCAGACCCCAGAAAGAAATTTTTTTAAAAAAGATTTATTTATTTATTTGAAAGGCAGAGTTGCACACAGAGAGAGAGAAGGAGAGAGAGAGAGAGAGAGAGAGAGAGAGAGAGAGAGAGAGAGAGATATCTCCCATCTGCTAGTTCATTCCTCAAATGGCTACAACAGCCAGGGCTGGGCCAGGCCAAAATCAGGAGCCAGGAGTGTGTTCTGGGTCTCCCATGTGAGTGGCAGGGGCCCAAAGACTTGGGTCATCTTCTGCTTTTCCAAATGCATTAGCAGGGAGCTGGATGGGAGGTGGAGCAGTTGGGACTCAAACCTGCAGCCATACGGGATGCTGGCACCATAGGTGGTGCCTTAACCCATTGTGTCGCAGTGCCAGCCCCAGAAAGAAACTTAACTTGTATATGAGTATATGAGTATTCCAGAATAAACACCTAGATGTCATTTATGTATATAATTTTTTTTTTCTCATTTCAGTTGTCCAGCAAATAGATGACCAGATTGGGACAAGCCAGGAAATTCAAGACATGATTCTGTGGCAAGTTCTAGTCGCAAACAGCAGCAGATCAACCAAGGAGAGGGTTGAATTAGGAGAAACACTTAATTTAAATTCCAGTCATATGTCCAAACTGATAATGAAGGATGGAAATTATGCAGGAATAGGGCCCGAGGAATATAATGATTGTCAGAGCACGCTTCTCCTTAGTAAGCCTGATGGTGTGTGTGCTGGGGAGAAATCCGATATCCCTATTGTACCTTGGAAGTCCCTCAGTTACTGTGAGTATCCTAGTCAGCATCAGAACATTCAGACATTCCCAGATATTTTTGAACACGATGTGCAAAGGAACACCTTTGACAGGGAGGCAATGTTTTTCACACATAAACCAGATCTCATGGTACATCAGAGGACACATACAGGAAAAAGTACCTGTGCATGTAGTGATTGTGAGAAATCTTTTAGCTGTGAATCAAACTTTACTGTCCAGGAGAGAATCCACACAGGGACAAAGTCCTATTGGTGTAATGAATGTGGGAAAACATTTTGCCGAAAGTCAAACCTCCACCGTCATCAGAGAACTCACACAGGGGAGAAAAACAATGAATGCAATAAATGTGGAAGAAGCTTTTACCAGAAGTCAGACCTTATCATACATCAGAGAATTCACACAGGGGAAAAGCCCTATGAATGTAATGACTGTGGGAAAACCTTTTGCCGGAAGTCCAGCCTCAGGACACATCAAAGACTTCATACAGGTGAGAAATTGTATGAATGTGAAGAATGTGGGAAAACTTTCTTCTACAAGTCATCTCTCTCTCAACATCAGAGAACTCTGTATCAATGTAAAAAGTGTGAGAAAGCATTCTACCACTGGTCTCTATTCTGTAGGCATCAGCAAACTCACACAGGGGGGAAACCCTATAAATGTAATGAATGTGGAAAAACTTTCTGCAGGAAGGCAAACCTCAGCATGCACCAGCAGACTCACACTGGGGAAAAGCCATACCAGTGCAATGAATGTGGGAAAACATTCTTCAGGAAAACAAGCCTCAGCAGACATCAGCAAACTCACACAGGGGAGAAGCCCTATGAATGTAATGCATGTGGAAAGGCCTTTTATCTAAAGTCAAATCTCCTTATCCATCACAGAACTCACACAGAGGGGAAAGCTTATCCGTGTAATGAATGTGGGAAATCCTTTTACCAGAAGTCATACCTGATTATACACCAGAGAAGTCACACAGGGGAAAAACCGTATGGGTGTAATGAATGTGGAAAAGCCTTTTCTCGGAAGTCAGGTCTCGTCAGGCATGAGAAAATTCAAACAGTGGGGAAATCCTATGAGTGCAATGAGTGTGCCAAAACCTTTTGCCACAAGTCAAATCTCAGGATACATCAAAGAATTCATGCAGGTAAGAAAATATATGAATGTAAAGAATGTGGAAAAGGGTTTTGCCAGAAGTCCCATCTCAACAAGCATCAGAATCTTCATAGGAATGGGGCAGATGTTGTGACACAGGATGTTAAGCTGCCGCTTGGAATGCCTGCATCCCATATCAATGAACTAGTTGAAGTCCCAGATAGCCCACTTATAATCCAGCTCCCTCCTGCTGCACATGGGGAGGCAGCAGAGGATGTCCCAATTACTTGGGTCCCTGCCACCCACATGGAAGACTCAGATGGAGTTCCAGGCTCCTGGCTTCAGTCTGGTTCAGCCTTGGCTGTTGCAGGCATTTGGGGAGTAAACCAGCAGATGGAAGATCTCTCTCTTTCTCTGTCTCTCCCTGTCCCTGTCAGCTTGCCTTTCAAATAAGTACATATATATCTTTTTGAAAAAATAATATTCCAGAAGAGAATGTAATAAGTATTGAAAAACCTTTTCTCATAAGTCAAATCTCAACTAATTGTCAGCTAAGTAACACAGAGGAGGCACTCTGAGCTTAATGAATTTGGAAAAACCTATCAGAAACGACACCTCCACAAGTGTAAGCGAAGTCGTGTGAGAAGGTGTGATCCTGTATAGAGACTGCGTGGTCCTCCGTGTATACTCTACTCTTGGACTTAGAGCCTGCATTTTCAGCCTCCCCTTATTAGTAACTGATCCCTGTTTTTATGTAGGTATTTTAGAAACAAGTAAGCAGTCTGCATTTGAAATCCCACCTTCATCATTTACTAAGTTATTACTTGGAGATACTGAGTCCGGCTGCCCATTACTGCTTCCACTGCTAGTAGACACATCAGCTGTGTGAGCAGGACTGCGTCACATGGCTCCTGTGTGTCAGCCACGATGCTCCTTTGCCAGCCCTGCATGAGTGCTTTGTTCTGCACAGGGAGTGACTCTAATGACTTTTGTGATCCTGATAATCACTGACTTGTTTGTGCATGAGCCTGGAGCTGCTTAACACTAGTAGGAGTCTGTTTATCAGGCAGAGGCTGCGAGCCAAGTTTCATCATGACCTGAAGTATGGGCTGTCTTCATGTGGTCAGTTTTTGTGCCGCCATTTTTTTCTTTTGTTTCTTTTTTTCTCTTATATTCTGTTGACGTGGGTTACACTGTAATTGCAACCTGACTTGACTCATTTATCTGACCAGTGTGATACTTTTTGATTTCACTGAACTGTTTGCAGACATTTATATATAAATAAAATAAGGACAAATGTTGCAGCAGCTTTGTGTTCTTCTTAACACCTTTTTTTCTTTAATTTTCTCCCTCACTTTCATACTTAAAATCTGTTAACTTCTATTCCACATCCACACAGCCTTTGTGAATTCAGATTGGACTTGCATTCAGTTCACTCTCCATAGATACTCAGAATGGAAGAGCTCACCCACATGGTAAAGTCATGGCGTAGCCATTGTTCTACCACCAGGCTATAAATGCAATGATGCATGCTCCAAATGCAACTCCTGTCCTCTCCTGAGGCCAGTACTGCAAGTCATCCACTGCTACCCACTGGATGCAACCCCATTGGTCCTGGTCATGCCTGCCCGGCCTCTTCCAAATGCTAACCAAGAATACATACCTAAGTGTTAGGAAAAATAGAGATTTAGGGGGAAATAAGTGATTGTGTATTTCATAGAAAAATTAATTAAAAGAATGAATTATTCCAGACAATTTTAAGACCAACAACATAAAGCAAAATCTGGGGCTGGCACTGTGGCATAGTAGGCTAAGCTTCTGCCTGGGGTGCTGGCATCACATATGGGCGCCAGTTCATGTCCCAGCTGCTCCCCTTCTGATCCAGCTCTCTGCTATGGCCTGGGAAAGCAGGAGATGGCCCCAAGTGTTTGGGAGATCCAGAAGAAGCTCATGGTTCTTGTCTTCAGGTCAGCTCATCTCTGTCCATTATGGCCATTTGGGAAGTGAACCAGTGGAAGAAGATCTTTATTAACTCTACCTCTCAAATAAATAAAATCTTTAAAAACAGAAGAAGACCAAAATCTACTAATAGAAGATCCAGTCTGTTAGGGTTATGTGTGAATTCTAAGTGTTTATGCTCTCACAACCATATACATATACAGCGTATTAGCCAACTTGGAGAAGTAGAGAAATTGATGATCACAGGGGGAGACAGTTCTCTCTCCATAGGATTGAGAAAGGCAGGAGTAGAAAATGGAGGTGTAAAATAAATAAAATATAAATAATAAAGGGACATGGTAGCCAGCCTAATAGCATTTGAAGCAAAATGCTCCAAATAGTGACTTATTCATATTTTTCACCAAGTTAGGTAGAAAAGCATTATCAACTAGTACACTAAGCATCCTGTTGTGCAGAAGGTAAATTCAGAGCTTGAGGAACACTTGGGGCCTTTTCAGTGCTTTGTGGGTCCCAGGAGGAAAACTGCTGGGCCCATTCAGAACCTCAGCTCCTCCCAGAGGCTCATAACTGACAGGAGACACGCAGGGGAGCAGAAATGCAAGGGAGGAGTTGTGCATTTGGATGGCTGGGAGCAGACTCACAGGGAAGGACACCAAGGCACAACCTCCTTCCTGGGCCTCAGTAGATCTATAAGTGCCAAAACCAGGAGCGTAAGAGGAGTGGCAAGGGGTGATGTAACCCACTGTGCTGGCTGCCTGTTGTGTGGGGAGTATATTACGCAAGCCTTATCTTTCATGTCAGATTATGAGCCTTGGTAAGGTCTTGGTGCAGAACAATTTTGGTAAATGGGACAATCCAGCTTGTGCATGGACTGCCAAAGGGGATGTGGGGAGATTCACTACTCATATTTGTGCAGCCACTCATGGTACCTGACTGGAGTCCTGAAGTCCTCACCACTCCACCTTGCAAAGCACACAGGCAGCTTCCCTGTGGTAGCCTCCTGGTGCCCTTGGATCTCAGGACAGCGGCTGGAAGTGAACTTACTGATCCTGAAGTTCCATGGAGTACAATGAGTAACACAGTCCTTCAGCTCTGACATCAGTGCAGACATCCCCGGGCTCTGAACAGACTTCCCAACCACTTTCAAGTAGGGCAGAGTGTACACCGTGTACAGTTCCTGACCCCTTTGCAACAGGCCTTGAGGAAAGCAATTGAATGAGAGCATGTGGATAGTGAAGTTGGCATGGCTTTCCCTGGAGTTTGCAGCGTTGACCTGTACTGCAGGTGTAATGTCACTGTCCCAGAGTCATGGCGAAGTCCAATGAAGGGTCAGAGTGACCAGAGCAGTTTGGGGTCCCCGAGAGATCCCAAAGTGTGTTGCTGGGTGCAAAGGTTGTGGGTTCTTGGATGGTGGGGAGATCACTTTACACCTGCCACTGTACTGCCTCCAGCTCTCGTGTCAGCAGGCAGGAAGCACTGTACCATCATTTCTCTACCCTTTTTTAACTCTGGTCTTTTTCTGAATGTTTCAGGTAGATTTCTGTTTAGGAAAGTCCCAGTGAAGATCCCCAGGATCAAAGAGTTCAGGTATCCCTGGAAAAGGGTATCAGGGGGTGGCTGAGCCCTTGTTGCATACAATGGTGATGATGTGTGTTCAGAGTGTGCCTCTGTGTCAAGGGAAGAGAAGTTGCCAGTCTCCATAGTCGGTTGAGGGAGCAGATGGGAATGACAGCATTAGATGCCCCTAATGCTTCATTCTTTTGCCTAGAGCAGTGATAACATACCATTTTTTCATATTAAGAAACTGAATTTGCACAGATTAACTAACTTGCCCAAAGTCACACAGCTGGAAAGTACTAGAGCTAGTAGTCGAGGCAGCTAGACAATATATTGCAGAGAATATAGTTTAGTATGCAGATTTCCTTTGCTTTACCTGTATAATTGGTTCTAAATGTTATGGTGGTGTAATACAGGCCATCTTGGTGAACGTGGTAGACTTGAACCAATAGTAAATGTAAAGGAAGAACATAGACCCAGTTATGTAGAGATCCACCATTATAATTTATTTTTCTAGGGCCAAGAAATGATGTTCCACTTGAGAGCTCTGTACTATGCACTGTGTTTGAGCAACATGTTTATGTATACAAATTCAGTGTATATGTTTATGTATACAAATTCAGTGTATATGTTTATGTATACAAATTCAGTGTATATGTTTATGTATACAAACTCTGGTCAGCAGATAGTACTGATAGATTTACATTTTGGCAAGTTTTTGACCTGTTTTTTAACTTTTTGAACTTTTTTTCCTGTTGAACAAATGATCTGAGAGATACAACGTAATATTTAAAACAGTCATAGAACTATTTTCTTTGATATTTCTCATTTGTCTCAACATATTGGATTGTAACTTTGGCATGTAGAGGATGATCTCTCTTTTTCTTTATTGTGTTATTAGGGTACAATTGCTGTTTATAAAGGTAAGGCCAGGATAATTTATGTCTTCTAGATACATTAATGAAAGCACTGCAAAGAGATCTGTGGTACGGGTTGCTATCAGAAACCAAATTTAGTTTTTAAATATTATTTAGAGGGCTGGGAATAAGTTTTCTAAGAAAGGGCTTTTTTCTGTGTTTGTCACCTAGTCTCAGAGAACCATGTTTTAACCTCTCTTCACTTCCCATCCCCCTTTTCTCCCATAAAGAATGAACCTGGTAGAAATGGAAATACTAGTCCAGGGGGCCTGCGGGGTCTCAGGTATATTTGTAGCTATCAGTATAAGACACGAAGACAGATTACTCACTGGAGAGACTGAGGAGGTGGCATCTGGCTCCCATTATCACAGCCACTGCAGTACATTGAGTTCCACAAGGACAGCGCTGGGACAAGCAGGAGTCAGGCATGGGGGAAAATGTGGTGCTCACTGAGGAAAAATAATTAAACATGGGCAAAGGAGCTCCTAAGAGGCCAAGAGGCAAAGTACGCATTCTTTGTGCCAACTTGCTGGGAGGGACGCAAGGACTCAGATGTTCCCATCAAGTTCTCAAGAATCTTCTAAGATGTGCTCAGACAGGTGAAAGACCATGTCTCCTAGGGAGAAGGGGAAATGTGAAGACATGGCAAAGGCAGACAAGACACATGACTGAAGAGAAATGAAAACCTATGTTCTTCCTAAAGAGGAAACAAAAGTTTAAGGATCCCAATGCACCCAAGAGGCCACCTTTGTAAAAACTTAGGTATTTGAGAGACAGAGTTACAAAGAGAGGGAGAGACAAAGAGGTCTTCCATCCACTGGTTCACTCCCCAAATGGCTGCAACGGCAGGAGCTGGGGCCGATTCAAATCCAGGAGCCAGGAGCTTATTTTTTATCTCCCACGTGGGTACAGGGGCCCAAGGACTTGGGCCATCTTCCACTGCTTTCCCAGGCCAAAGCAGAGAGCCGGATCACAAGTGGAGCAGCCGAGACTCAAACTGGCATCCAGATGGGATGCTGGGGCCACAGGCGGAAGCTTAGCCTACTAAGCCACAGCGCCAGCCCCTGTCCTTTCTCTTGTTCAGAGTAGCACCCAAAAATTGAAGAATCTCCTGGCCTACCCATTGGTGATGTTGCAAAGGAACTTGTAGCGACGTGTAATGACACCCTTGCAGATGACAGGCAGCCTTCTGAAAAAAAAAAAAGGCTGGTAACCAGAAGGAAAGATATAAAAAGAACATGGTTGTCTACTGAGCTAAAGGAGAGCCTGATGCAGCCAAAAAGGGAGTCATCAAAGTTGAACAGAGCAAGAAAAAGGAAGATGAGGAAGATGAAGAGGAGGAGGAGGATGAAGACGATTATGAGTAAGTTGGTTTTAGTGCAACTTTTTCTTGTCTGTGAAGCATTTAACCACCCTGTGCACAACTTGCATCTTTTAAAGAAAAAGTTGAAATATAAGGCTGTGTAAGATCTGTTTTTAAACTGAACAGTGGCTTTTTTGTACAGTTAACACACTACAAAATGTGTCTTTAGATTGCCCTGTGCTGGTGGAATTTTCATAGCCACTAACCTTGCCTGGAACAGTACAGGGTTGTAGATTGGTGTGGAAATTTAGGGCAGATTGTTGTTGATCCACAGCACAAATTAGGTTTCTATGGGGACAGTAGTTTTTTCACCTTCAGTTTTCTCTGATACAGCTTATACAAGACAATTGTTCTGTTAACTGAAAACCACTCTACAATTGCAAAAAAAATTGCAGCTGCTGTTTTTTTTAACATTCTGAGTGCTTGTAAGAAAATGTTTTTTTTTTTTTCAAGATTTATTTATTTATTTGAAAGGCAGAGTTATGGAGGCAGAGGCAAAGAGAGAGAGAAAATCTTCCATCTACTGGTTCACTCCCCAAATGGCTGCAACGGCCAGAGGTGAGCCATAATCTACTGCTTTCCCAGGCCATAGCAGAGAGCTGGATTGGAAGTGGAGCAGCTGGGACTTGAACTGGCACCTAAGTAGGATGCTGGCACTGCAGACGGAGGCTTACCCACAGCGCTGGCCCCTTCTTTATATTTAAAAAGACTTAGAGACAAACTTCCAAAAAAAAGAATGTTACAATTAATTTGCAATTCAGTGTGTGCACGTGTAGTCAACACTAAGTTCAGATAACCAAGCCACATTCCTTTCTGCTAAAATGTAAAATATCAGGGGATATTTTGTCAGAGTAAGAGTTTTTCAAAAGAGGAAATTCAAATTGCCAACAGATACTTGAGAAAATGCTCAGGATCACTAGCCACCAGAGAAATGCAAACCAAAAGCACAATTAGATTTCACCTCACCCTAGTTAGAATGGCTCTCATACAGAAACTAACAAACCACAAATGCTGGCCAGGATGTGGAGAGAAGGGTATCCTAATCCACTTTTGGCGGGAATGTGAACTGGTACAGCCACTGTGGAGATACCTCACAGATATGAATATAGACCTACCATATGATCCAGCCATCCCACTCCTGGGAATTTTCCCAAACCAAATGAAATCAGCATATGAAAGAGTTACCTGTACCCCCATGTTCACTGCAGCACAATTCACAGCAGCTAAGATATGGAATCAACCCAGATGTCCATCAACTGTTGACTGGATAAAGAAGTTATGGTGTATATACACTATGGAGTACTAAAAAAAAAAAAAAAAAAAAAATCCTGTCTTTTGCAACAAGATGGATACAACTGGAAACTCGAAAGCATTATACTTAGTGAAATAAGCCAGTCCCCAAAAGACAGATATCGTATGTTTTTCCTGATCCAAGGCAACTAGTAGAATACCGGAAATGTAATATATTGGAGTCAAATAGGCATTTTGAGATTTGATGATTGTTTACAGCCCTTGTCTCTTCCATTGAGGAACAGTGTTTTTGTTTTTCTCTCTTCATGCTATTTATTGAACTCTTTCACATAGTGTAGGGCTAACTTATACGATCATTAAGTAAACTGAAAATAGATCTTTCTAAAGATTGAGTGGGAATGTGAGAAGGAGGAGGAAGAACAGTTGGAGCGTGGGCAGGAGGGAGGGTGGGGAAGTGTCACTATGTTCCTACAGCTGTATATATGAAATACATGAAACTTGTATAAAATAAAAATTTTAAAAAAGGAGGAAATCTGAATATAGACCTGCCCTATTTCCCAGCCATCCCACTCCTGGGAATTTACCCAAGGGAAGTAAAATCAGCATATGAAAGAGTTATCTGCACCCCCATGTTTATGCAGCTCAGTTCACAATAGCTAAGATGTGGAATCAATCCAAATGTCCTTCAGCTGAAGACTGGATAAAGTAATTATAGGATATGTACATTGTAGAATACTACACCACAGTAAAAAAAAAAAAAAAATGGATTCCGGTCATTTGCAACAAAATGGATGCAACTGGAAAACATTGTACTTAGTGAAATAAGCCAGTCCCAAAAGGACAAACACCATATGTTCTCCTTGATCTGTGGTAACTAATAGAATATCTAAAAGGTAATCCAAAGAAATGAAATTGACACTTTGAGATGCAATGATTCTGAACAGCCTTTGTCTTGATTGCTGAGGAGCAGGTTTTTTTTTTAATACCATTTTTTAAAGATTTATTAATTTATTTGAAAGGCAAAGTTACAGAGAGGCAGAGATGGCAGGGGGAGGGGGGGACCTTCCATCCACCAGTTCACTCCCCAGATGGCCTCAACGGCCAGAGCTGTGCCCATCCGAAGCCAGGAGCCAGGAGCTTCCCCGGCCTCCCACGCAGGTGCAGGGCTCCAAGGACTCAGGCCATCTTCCACTGCTTTCCCAGACCACAGCAGGATCTGAATCTGAAGAGGAGCAGCCAGGACTTGAACCAGCACCCATACAGGATGCCGGCACTGCAGGAGCAGCTTTACCCGCTGTGCCACAGCGTCAGCCCCCCATGCTATTTGTGTAAGGTTAATCTTATGTGTATAAAGTTAATTGAAAATAGATCTTTGTAAAAAATAATGACAATAGGAGAGGGAGCAGGAAGAAGGGTGGGAGTGTGGGTGGGAGAGAGGACAGATTGGAAAGAATTACAACTTTCCTAAGTTTGTATATGAAATGCATGTTGGTGGCCCACATGAGCATGTTGCCTGATGATGTCATAGCCCTCCTGGTTTGTGTAAGCACACCCCATGATGTACATGGTGCTAGGTCGAACAGTGGCCCCAAACAGATGTAAAACCCAGTCCAGACCCAGAGTTGACCCAAACTTTATCGTTTCTCTTTAAGACTGGGCCATGAAATGTTTTTTTTTTTCTTTGCCTTGTTGGAAAGATCCTCGGGGATTCACAACGGTCAGTTCAAGTTCGTTCTTGGTTTCCTTGGCTGACCTGGTGAGAATGACACACCCCTGCTTGTTTCGGAGGCTCTGTAACTTGCAAGACTCTTCTTTCCCAGGATCGTGTTTGATACGCAGAACAACCCTACAGGTGAACATTCTTATTTTCCAGGTGAGGGAAATGTTCAACCATGTGAAATGGTGTTTACACTAATATGGCTAAGAAGTGATGGGGGGATAAGAGTGGATGGAACCCGTGGGACCTGTAATTTCATTGCATGAGTCTGTGGAACACACCACATGAGCTGGGAGGCATTAAAATCAGGAGGGGTGGGGTGCCACGTGTGATTACGTGTGCTTGCCCAAATGCGTGCACCCTTGCTTTCTGGTGTTCATCTGTGTGTGTCAGTATTCAGTAAAGTTTCTTTCAGTCGCCTGTACCTGTGCTATCCAGGGAAAGGCATGCTAAGCCAAGCACACGCAGCCAGCCAGAACATTTGGGCATTTTCTTTCAAAGCCTCACTTCCAGTTTGAAAAAACACTTCTTGGTGATAAAAGATTAACTCTGTAAAGATTTTATTCATTACTGCATCTACATGAGTGGACACTTTTCAAATGATCACTGCATATATTCGAGAGTTTCGGAATATTTTCCAATTTGTACACACTCCTTGAACATTTGGCTCTTACACACATTTGGCTATTAAAGAACTCTACTGGAATGCTTCTACCCAGCATAATGGAAAAGGGGGAGGGGTCTTTGGAACTGGTTATATTTGGGGTATAGTCAGTCACTCACTGTGTGATGCTAGGCAAATTCACTTCTCTGAATTCTGCTTTTCATAGCCTTTGAAGTGGGATTTTTAAATGCCATCTTCCCTGATTGTTATGAAAATGAAAATGAGATCCAGCACTAGGTACAGACACAGGCACTTCTGTTTGTGGATATGGAATTTAAAAGATAAATGTTGGGGGAAAAAATCTCAAAACTCATCCATGTAAGGCATCTTAAAAAAAACTCATGAAAATACATCTTATGAAAAAACTATGCATGGATTCCAAAAATGTTTGTGCCCAAATTATCTTTTAACTCCAATATTCCACAAACTTTTTGAAGTACAATTGTAGAAGCCACTCAGTAAACCTCCCTCCCCTTTCCCCCCACTGCAGCTCTGCCCCCAGCCATTAGCATTGGTCTGCCTACTTCCCCGTGCTTACAGGCACCGGCTCCTGTCGACTCCCCTTGTGAAATAATTTCTTCCCTCAGTAAGCAAGACAATCTTCTAAGCGCCCACAGAGAGCTCCCGAGGAGAAAGCTCAGTAGGAGCATCTTCTTCATTATTTAAGGAGTGTTTCTTAGGAAGGAAGAGCACAGGATGTGGGAAGAGGCATGCCCAAGCTGGGGACGCATCCTGCATTTCAAAGACGGCGTAGCTAAATATGAAACGAGGGAGACGTGGCCGACTGAGGTGGATCCCACAGGGTACCTGACTGCTCTGCTCGACTGCGGGTTATTAATAAATTGTGATTTCGGCATTCACTGAAATCACTCATCGAACATTTATGTGGGGGATGTGAGCATCTGGGGCCACCAAGTGTGGCCTCTGCTTCCTACCGGAGCTTGCAGAGCCCTGAGCTGAACAAGTCAGCGTGGAGACTCCACATATGCTCCACATCCTAAGCAAACACGATACAAGAGAATGTAGACTTACTCTAGGGCTAATTTGGGGACCATTATCCTCATTTTCACTTCCTGAAAAGATTTTGAAGCACAAAAAGCCTCATTTTAAGCTAGAAGCTCCCTGAATACCCTTTCAAATGTGGTTTGATTATGCACATTTTAAACACATATCCATACTATATGTTTACATAGAACTTGTAATTGTGGGACATGCTGGTGGCAGAATAATGGAGAGGAGCAGCAGCCCCTACAACACCACAGGATCACCTGGGCTCCCCTGACTGCCAGGGCAGCGGGCGCCCTCCCACACGAGCCACTGCTGCCATGCCCAGGGCTCCCCTGGCCTGCTGTCTCCTGGCCTGTGGTCAGCAGCGTGCTCTGTGCCCTGACCCAGGCTCAGGAAATAGATGTGCTGGCTTCTGGGTGGAGGCGGGCAGGGATACTGCTGCCCGGCCAAGGACCCTCCCATGAACACTTTGCAGAGACTGTCCTCAACTGCCCCAATAACATGGCCCCCTTCCTCCCCTCCCAGGGCCCTTCCGGCCCATGTGGGGCACAGGTCTATCTCAGGAATTATTGGATGGTCATGACCCTGGCCTCTGACTCAGGCCTCACAGGAGGAGCATTGGGAAACAGACCCAATGTCCTTAACCCAGCATTTTATTAGACTTTAACAAGCAAGGGGCTGCTGGAGGCCCACTCTTGCTGCCCCCATGCCATGGTCGTTTAGAAGCTCTCAGAGCCTCAGGCCACTAACCTGGTCTTTTAGTGCAAGCCCAGGCTCCAGGGGGGTGCCTGAGACTGGGTCCAAGCTCAGGACAAGCCAAGGCTACTCGGACGTAGTGCTATTAGTTACCAAGAACAGGGAGCCCTGTCCAGTGTGGGGGCTGCCATGCAGAGGCTGGGCAGGCCACTAGCCACCCTCGGCTGGCAGCAAAGTGAGTTCACTGTCCAGTCCACTGACCCGCACGTGTCCAGCTGCTCTGTGGAAGAGGAGGCAATGCAGCTAACAGGATGTGCAGGGACTTGGGCCAGAGGGCCTAGTCTTTTCCCTTCCCCTACAGGCCCCTGAAGTTCACTGTTGCCTGAGGCTCATGGGCCTCTAAAGGGTATGTCCTCAGCCTGAGCACTGGCCTGCAGCAGCCCGGGTGAGGCCTGGTCCCAGGAGTCCCAGGGCAGACCTGGAAGAGTGCCTGATCATTTTTGCCCTCAGGGGACCAGCAGTCTGTGGCTTCCAGGTGTGCCACAAGGTTATAGTAGGAAGCCCACACTGATGGGCGTTGCGCAGCCTCTGAGCTGTCCTAGGTCAGGGGGAGGCAGGCCAGACCTGGAAGCACGGAGGCCCCCAGAGAGAGAGGTTTGGGGTCTAGGGCTCCTCCAAGAGTATCTCAACAATAGTGGACTCCATGGGCACAAGCCGGGCTTCTCTCTTGGTTCACATGGTGTCTTTCAGGTTTGGAAGGGCCCTGGAGCCTCTGCTGGACTTCGCCCTCTGCGGCCAGCGTAATGTTGCTTCCAGAGTCAACTCGAGGGTGCACAGAGGAGCCAACAGTGACACAGCTCGCCTGGCCCGTCAGCTGTCCCAGTCGGGAGAAGCAGGTTGGGAGCACAGAGAGGCCTGGGGTGGTTTCTGCATTTCCAGTCATCTGTGGGCGAGGTGCTATCCCCCAGGGCTGCTGGGAAATCCACTGGGTCCTTTTGTACCTCTGGAGTGTGGGGAGGCAAACCTGGTGAGGCCGGGCCTCCAGGTACACAAGAACCAGGCGCAGGGGCCTGCCGGGCAGTTGCTCTTGTTTTCCTGAAAGGAAAGCGAACTTGGTCAGCCTTGGGCCTGGATTCCTGGGATCCTCAAGGCCCTACCTGGCCCTCCTGGTCTGACACGGAGGACAACCCCTCCCTCACCCCAGCAGGCCGCTCATCCCAGAGGGAAGTATGTATGCAGCCTGGGCCGTGGGAGCTGTTGGGGCACCTCACAGTGCTGCTGGGATGGGCTGGCTCCAGGCTTCCTCTTTCTTCCCCGAGGCTACGTGGCTTCAATACGAGAATTCAGCTGGTCTCCACCTGCCACCTAATCCACCTATCACCCAACATGGGGGCTGCTGAGGTGTGAATATCTGAGTGTGTTGGAACTTTGGTGATAGGAAGAGGTGGGAATCATGGATGGGGGAGTGCTCTTCTCAGTGGTGGATGGGGGGGCCCTGGTGCTGGCTGCCCTTCCAGCTCCCCCCTCCCACCCTGTGAGGACACAGGGCATCCCCTTCACCTTGGAAGCAGAGTCAGGTCCAGTGCCTGGACCCTGCACTGCCAGCCTCCAGAATTGTGAGGAATCAGTTTCTGTTCTTTGGGAAGGCCCAGTGCCATGTGTTTTATATCATCGTCCGTGGACGGAGACAGGGCCTCTCTCCATGACAGGGTCCAGCCAGGGGATGTCTCTGGAGCTGAGGTTCCCTCCACTCCAGGGGCTATGCACTCCAGGCCGGGACTGGACCCTTCCCACACTCAGCTTTACTCTGGGTTCTGCCCCAGGGCCTGGATGATCTGTCTCTGCCCTCCCAGACCACAGACGGGCTGAGGGCAGCTTGGTGGCCATGGGAGGGTAGGAGTATGCTCAGTGGACTTTTGTCACATCCTTTCTGCCCCACCTTTGTGGCCTCTGCACCCAGATAGCCGCTGGCTTTGTCCATGCGCAGAAGGTGGAACACCCTCAGTGTCCTCTGAGTGTCCTGAGGAGAGTACATGCCCAGGCCCTGTGCTGGGGTCAGCCAGGAAAGCACTGCCTTGTGGGGAGTGGGGGGGGGGGGGACGGACATGGACTCCCTTCAGCCCACAGGGGCTCCCAGGATGCACCAGACTCTGGGTCCAGCAGACCCTGAGCTGCAACTCCCTTCCAGGACTGCCACACTCAAGGGAGGGCCCTGTCTCCAGCCCCAGGGCTCCAGAAAGTCTAGGACTCAGATCTGACCTCCTGACCAGTGTCGACTTAGGGGCCAGGGTAGTTGATGGGGAAGCTCCCCAAGGGATGTCTGGGAAACTGGCAGTTTGGCATCCAGGCTGGGATTTCTGAAGCTTCCTGAACAGGAGGAGGAGAAGGGCCATAGGCAAAGTTGCTACTGCCGAGCCCCCAGAGGAGGAACAGGGAGGGGACCTGGACGCAGCAGGAGGTACTTGATCCTCTGAAGTTCAGCCTCGGAGGCCTGAGGCTCACCCTCTGCCGTGGGACATCCGGCCTGCCTCCCCAGCAGGGTTTCCCCTTGAGCCTGTTTGGGGGTGGGGGCAAGGGTGGGCACGGCTCTCCTAGAGGGAATCCAGCCTCACCGTGCTGGGCCCTGTGGCCAGGAGCTTCCCTACGCACCACTACCACATCAGTGAAGCAGTGGTCAAGCCACTTCTGAGTGTAGCTCTAAGCAGACACTCCCTGGCCACCCTAAGGGAAGGGACATAGGGGGCCTGGGGCCCATGGCCTGCAGACTTCCCTGTTCCAGACCCACCTACATAACCCCACACAAAAGGCCAAGCACTCAGTGGCTGGTGCATCATCACCCTGCTGCGTGAATGCCTGGGTGGCCACACCCCCTTCACCTGCACAACCCCTGGCTGCCTGTGTCCTGCTCCCTGTGGCCTCCCTAGGATACGGAAGAGAAAGCAAACTCCAGAGCCTTTGGCAGAGCTCACACCATGAGAAAGGCCCCCGCCAGGCCCTGACCTCTCATCAGCCCCAGGAAGGCTTGGGACCCCAATCGACTCACCTCCTGTGGGACTCAGAACCTCTGGGAAGGAAGAGAGAGGTCACTGTGTTCACCAGCTGGGAGAGTGAACAGAGGGGAGGCAGAAGAGTCACCTGGACAAGGAAGCGGCCCAAGGGCTGTGGGTTCAGGGCACAGAGGGCAAGCACAGGGCACTGCAGGGAGACAGAGGGTCTGACTCAGCAGAGAGATGTCCTCTGCCATCCCTGACTCCTACAGGGCCTCCCAAAGGGCAATCTGCTTGGACACTGAAGAGCCAGTGGGGCATGAGGTGCAGTCACTTGGGCAGCGTGGGCGCCACCCAGCCACCTACCCTGCACTGCACGTCTGTGGTTTGTCATCAGCTGGGCCAGAGCCCAGGGCACGTCTTCTTCCCCTGGGACCATGGGGAGCATGGCCGCCAGCCGGTTCATGTCTGTCCTGAAACCCACCTCCTGCAAGAGACAAGGACGTTGTGAAAGGGCATTGCCTGGCAGGGCTCACCTCAGCCAGTGTCCCACTGGCCTCACCTGGGAAGGCTGGCCTCCCACAAGCGGTGACACGGCTTCTTCTCAGAACTGGTGGCCAGGCCCAGGGAGACCATTAGCCCAGCCCCACCCCACCGCCCCCAGCCCTTCATGGCTAAGTTTACCCTAGAGAGGCCCCCTTGCCCCTGACTTGGAGCTCTGTGACGCAAGGCAGCCTGGGAATGGGAGCGCCACCCTGGAAACTCAGGGTGTCCAGGAGCTTTTGAAATGAGGCTCGCTGCCTGGGGAAGAGGAAAGAAGGGGCTTTTGGTTTCCTGCTGAGGCTGTGTGTTCCATTTTGCCTAAACCAATGCCGACAGCACCAGAGGCCCAAGCTAAATTAGCCGCCAGGGAGCAATGGGGGCTGAGACTTCTGCATGTTTCTGAAATTCTTCACTAAAACCTTATACAGGGACATGCCCACGTCTCAGGGGTACACCTTGGTGCATTTTTATTTTCATTCTGGTAGATTTTTTTCTTTTTTTGCACACACAGACATGCAGTCTATAGGATCTGCAGGTCCAGGGGTTTGAACCACTGTGGAGTCTCCCAGCCTCAAATCAGTCCTCAGGTCATTCAGCACATGAAAGAGCTATCTGTACCCCATTTCTATAGCAGCTGATACACACACACACACACACACACATATATATATATACATACACGCTATGGAATACTACTCAGCCATAAAAACAATGATGCCCCTTAACGAAACAAACAGACTCAAAATATAAATATTATGTTTTCTCTGATTTGTGCTAACTGATACAGAGAGTACAAAACACATAATGTACTGACATGAAACTGACATCAGGAGATCTGAGGAGTATTTCTAGCCCTGTCCTGCACAACAGTGGTCTTCCTACTTTCTAATTCTTGAGTTCTTTATTTAGTGGAGGATTAAGCCTATGATTACAAAGTAAATTCAAAGCATGTTTAATTCAAAAATTAAAAGAAAAAACTAGAAAGGAAGGCAGAGGGAGGAGGGGTGGTGGGAAATAGTGCTTAAAATTGTATACATGAAGTACATAAAATCAGTTCTTTTTATATAAATAAAATTTTAAAACATCTTAGCAGGACAATTGTCATTAAGGCAGATACCAATTTGGGGAATAAATAACCAAGGCCAGCGGGCAAGGTCTGTCAGTGCATCTCCTTTCACAACTTCAGGTTTATAAAACTGTAAGATTCTCATGCCCTCATATCAGGATTACCTGAAACAAATGAAATACCTGTTTTCTTCTATTTTGGCAGCTCATAACCATAACTGGGTAGATGTCAAACATCTGTTGATGTCTGACAAAAGATGAATATTGGGAGCCAGTGCTGTGGCATAGCGGGTAAAGCCACCGCTTGCAGTGCCAGCATCCCATATGGGTGCTGGTTCGAGTCCCGGCTGCTCCACTTCCGATCCAGCTCTCTGCTATGGCCTGGGAAAGCAGTGGATGATGGCCCAAGTCCTTGGGCCCCTGCACCCACATGGGAGACCTGGAAGAAGCTCCTGACTCCTGGCTTCGGATCAGCCCAACTCCGGTCATTGACACCATTTGGGGAGTGAACCAGTAGATGGAAGACCTCTCTCTCTCTGTCTCTCCCTCTCTCTGTCTGTAACTCTACCTCTCAAAATAAATAAAATAAATCTTTAGAAAAAAAGATGAGTGATGATAGAGGGGGCTACAACAGAGGCTGCAGATGCTCTGCTAGATTCAGTCACCCTTACCTCTGACCCCAGTTGAGACATGGATGACCCAGCTGAGAGGGTCTTTATCAAACACTATTGAGATCGAACTTTTTTAAAAAGATTTATTTGAGAGGTAGAGTTACAGACAGGAGAGGGAGAGACAGAGAGAGGTCTTGCATCTGCTGGTTCACTCCCCAGATGGCTGCAACGACTAGAGCTAGCCCAATCCAGGTCTCCCACATGGATGCAGGGGCCCAAGTGCATTGGTCCGTCTTCCACTGCTTTCCCAGGCCACAGCAGAGAGCTGGATCGGAAGAGGAGCAGCAGGGACTAGAACCAGCACCCATATGGGATGTCGGCACCACAGGTAGATGATTAACCTACTGTGCCACAGTGCCGGTCCCAAGATTGAACTTTAATAGGAGTTTACAAGCAATTTCCATAGCAATGTAGCTTTAAGAATGTGCAGGGGGCCGGCGCCACGGCTCACTAGGCTAATCCTCCACCTTGCGGCGCCAGCACACCGGGTTCTAGTCCCGGTCGGGGTGCCGGATTCTGTCCCGGTTGCCCCTCTTTCAAGCCAGCTCTCTGCTGTGGCCAGGGAGTGCAGTGGAGGATGGCCCAAGTGCTTGGGCCCTGCACCCCATGGGAGACCAGGATAAGTACCTGGCTCCTGCCATCGGATTAGCGCGGTGCGCCGGTCATTGGAGGGTGAACCAATGGCAAAGGAAGACCTTTCTCTCTGTCTCTCTCTCTCACTGTCCACTCTGCCTGTCAAAAAATAAAAATTAAAAAAAAAAAGAAAAAGAAAAAAAAGAATGTGCAGGGGCCGGCGCCGCTGCTCACTAGGCTAATCCTCCACCTTGCGGCGCCGGCACACAGGGTTCTAGTCCCGGTCGGGGCGCCAGATTCTGTCCTGGTTGCCCCTCTTCCAGGCCAGCTCTCTGCTGTGGCCAGGGAGTGCAGTGGAGGATGGCCCAAGTCCTTGGGCCCTGCACCCCATGGGAGACCAGGAGAAGTACCTGGCTCCTGCCTTCGGATCAGCGTGGTGTGCCGGCCGCAGCGCGCCGACCGCGGCGGCCATTGGAGGGTGAACCAACGGCAAAGGAAGACATTTCTCTCTGTCTCCCTCTCTCTCACTGTCCACTCTGTCAAAAAAAAAAAAAAAAAAAAAAAAAAAAAAAAAAATAGACGTGCAGGAAGCATGGCTGGAACCACACGAGGATCCCTGTGAATTTGTGAGAAGAATTAAGCTGTGGACAATATGCTAACATGGGTCTGATGTTAGTACGTGGGTCTGATGACTCTGCAAACTAAATTTGCTTATGAAATCTTACTGCACAGAGGGTCCCGGAAATCCAATAGATACCAAAACAAAGTGGAAGGGTTCTGGTTGTTCCCGCATCTCACTGAGTAGAAATCACTTTCAAGGTTTTCAAGAACAGCGATGAGGCAGAAGGAACATAAGAAGACGAGGCGCCATGCACCATGCCATCTGCAGCGTTGAAAGGGGAGATGAAGAAGCGGGAAGAGACTTGAATTGTAAGGGGCCAAGGGAGACCCTCCAAAGGGGAATACCGAGAAAAAAATATGCTAAGGTGGGTCCCGGACCACGTGCCTACTGCAAGCAGGAAGGCCAGTGGATAAAGGATCTCCCAAGGTTGGAAAAGAAAACGGGAGAGGAGGGTGAGCAGGAAAAGGCGTTATTAATGCCTGAGTGTGCACAGGGCCAGGAATGAGGACCCAGGAAGTCCAATGAGGGAAGCAGGCTCCATGTCCATTCCCCCAGGAAACACTCTCCGTGGAACCCGTCCGCATTTTCAGTCCTGAATGCTAGGTTGACTGCGTTAATTAGGGCAAGCTCCACCTGCGGTGGGCATGCACCACTGCAGTGACGATGCTGCTGGAGGTGCCTGCACCCCACATCAGGGCCGAGGTTTGAGTCCTGGCTCCACTCCTGATCCCAGCGTCCTACTAATGCATACCTGGTGGGCAAGCAGCTGGGTCCCTGTCACCCACATGGGAGACCCAGGTGATTCCCCTTCCTTCCTTCCTTCCTTCCTTCCTTCCTTCCTTCCTTCCTTCCTTCCTTCCTTCCTTCCTTCCTTTTCTCTTTTTGATTTTATTTAGGGGCTGGTGCTGTGGCACAGCAGGTCAATGCCCTGGCCTGAAACTCCAGCATCTCATATGGGCACCGGTTCGATTCCCAGCTGCTCCACTTTCTATCCAGCTCTCTGTTGTGGCCTGGGAAAGCAGTAGAAGAGATGACCCAAGCCCTTGGGTCTCTGCACCCACATAGGAGACTTGGAATAAACTCCTGGCTCCTGGCTTTGGATTGGCACACCTCCAACCACTGCAGCCAAATGGGGAGTGAACTAGCAGGTGGAAGACCTCTCTCTCTCTCTCTCTCTCTCTGCCTCTCCTCTCTCTGTGTAACTCTGACTTTCAAATAAATAAATGAACCTTTAAAAAATATTCTATTTATTTATTTGAGAGGTACAGTCACAAACCGTGAGTGGGAGAGACAGACAAAAAGGTCTTCCATCTGCTGGTTTGCTCCCCAAATGGCCACAATGGCCACAGCTAGGCATACCCAAAGCCAGGATCCAGGAGCTTCTTCTGGTCTCCCACGTGGGTGCAGGGGCCCAAGGACTTGTGCCATCCTCCACTCCTTTCCCAGGCCACAGCAGAGAGCTGGATCGGAAGAGGAGTAGCTGGAACTAGAACCAGTTCCCATATAGGATGCCTGCACCTCAGGCAGAGGATTAACCTACTGCACCACAGCACCAGTTCTTCTCTCTGCCTTTCAAAATGAAAGTGGGGGAAAAAACTTGGTGTAGAGGAATATAGATTCACCCAGGATGTTTTAAACAAGATTTTATTTATTTGAGAGGCAGTGAGAGAGAAAGAGAGACACATATGGGTCTCCCATATGGGTGCAGGGGCCCAAGCACTTGGGCCATCACCTGCTGCTTTCCCAGGCACACTAGCAGGGAGCTGGATCAGAAGCAGAGCAGATGGGATTTAAACTAGCACTTGAATTTGGGACGCTGGCATCACAGTAGCGGCTCAATCTTCTGTGCAACAGTGCCAGCCCCGCATCCAGGATTTAAGGACTATAAAACAAGCAGTAGGGGGCTGGCGCTGTGGCGCAGTAGGTTAATCCTCTGCTTGTGGCACCAGCATCCCATATGGGCGCCGGTTCAAATCCTGGCTGCTCTACTTCTGATCCATCTCTCTGCTATGT